CGCACTCCCCTCCCCCTGTTCTCTCTTCCTCTTTTCACATCTGGTTCCACTCAGAGTTTGGACTTTCGTGGCATTCCTTCACATCAGTGCACCCGGAGCCAACATTACACAACAGCACCCCAAATAAAACCAAGCCTCATTATTAGAGTTATTTCTAATTCACGAAACACTTCAACAATCACGAAAACAAAGAAGTCAGGGGAAAAAAGCAAAAGTGATAATAAAGCGTGAATATTTCCTACCTGAGTGCACGGTGGTGCTCCGCTCCAGGCTTAATACTAGAAATAAATATAAAGTGCATCTGCAAACATTTATCCACGCGCGACTCCAACAGCCGTCCCGGTGCCCGCCACCGTGCTGATGATGCATACCCGCGGAGAGGTGAAACGGAGAGAAACACGTCTGTTTGCCCCCTTCCCTTTGAAACAGAAGCAGGGCTTGTGAAGGACAGACGGGCTTTGAGAGTGTCAGTGTCGCTGTGTGCGTGGACTGTGATGAGTTCGGAGTGAATGAGCGGGGCAGACCGTTCACTTTCACTGCACACGCACACACTCACACGTCCCAAGAAAATGAAGTGGAAGAGGCGGAGAAATAAGTTTGAATGACTACCCGACACCCGGGATAAGTGTCCAGGGCTGAGAATTTAGCAGACTTTCTTAACACTTTGCTCTCAGGCAACAAAAATACGACATTGTTCTTTGTGTAGCCTAATAGCCTATTTACTCACATGCAACACTAGCTTGAGGCTACTTGGGGAAAGAAATAGCGTTTTTGGAAGTCTCCTCTGACAAAAAGCAAACGTGCTACCTATTTTCTGCACATGAAGTTAGACAAAGACTTACAATGCATTCCAGACCAACATTTCAGTGGAAAGTTTATCTATTTCTTAACTAATCAGAATCATTCAACCTGAAGTAATGACGTAGCTTAATGACCCGTGTAAAGTATTGCTGTGGTTTTATGAATGTACAGCAGAGCAGTGTGATGGATTTTTTCATTAATAAAATAGTAAACTGTTTATTAAACTAACCATGTTTCTAAAAACTTACCTTACTTCCCTTTTAGGCCTAACAGGCTAACAATTCTAACACAATGTACTAAAACGTTCTGTCCTGTGTTTTTGAATGTTGTATGTTGTTTTGGCATACCCCTTTAACTTTGGTTGTGTGAGTGTAAAAATAACAAATATGAGAAATTAAACTAGACAGATGTCTAATTTTGAAACCAAAAACAGAGTTTGGTTCTACCTGGTAACAGAGGGGTTTGCATGTGAAAACCAATCATATTGTGGGGAAATTATGTAATGTCTTATGTTATTTTTCCCATACCTCATTATATCCAAACTGTTTCGTGTTAACTGGTGGGATTCTCAATGGAATTTGTCTGAGATCCTCAGGCCTTGCTTAATGCTTGGAAATGTCGAGAACTCCCTCCCGGCCGTGATTAAAGCATTTAGAGGACATTTGCTGAAGTCTGTCTGTTTCTTACTGCTGCGCAGCAGGTTAGTTTAGGGAAGCAAGTCAGTTAGGAGACCCAGATATACTAAATGTCGTGGAAGTTAGGGGACGTCGATTGGAGACGAGACCCAGGTACGTAGTTAGGTTTAGGAAAAAATCTACCACAGTGGCCTACAATCTCCTTGCTGAGTATTGAAGCTGGGTTCTGCTGATGAAACTGCAAACTATCCTTCAGTACATTTTTCTTCAATTGATTATACTTTTGACCCCTGGTCTTCATTCATCATATCTGGTCCTTGGGTCTTTAACTGTAAAATCCCCTACAATTTCAATTATTCCAATTACAGGAACAGAAAAGTAAAGTAAACTTTCTATGGACATTACATTTACGAAAGCTTGCAGAAAAGTGATTCAAACAGGAAGCAAATGTTGAAGGGATCGGTATTGTGCTTTTGGCATTTTCTATTTCTTGCACGATTCAGTTGAGCAATCTTCGTGAAACTACGAAGAGGTGAGAGAAGAATACTTGAATTCAAGCTGTGGTTGTTCTCGACACTCCTTGTACCATTTGGTAATCCATGACCGGTTCTGTAATGCAATCGCACACATGAGATCACAAGGCCAGAGTAAATAAGTGGGTGGAGTAGTTGGGTTGGAATAGTTAGACAGGCCTGGTTTGGTGGAAGTAATCATCTACAGGTTCCAGCTGAGCCTAAGTGTTTGTCCAAAACAATCCCCAAATGGTGAGTCACAGAGACTGGAAGTCTTAAGCTGGGGGAAGGGTTTTTTGGGTGCCAGTTTGGTAAAAAATAAAAATTTAACATGTATAAAAATAAATAATGCAGTGTTATTATCTTCACAGAATGTCTGAAACTATTCAGGTTCAAAATAATTATAATCCTCCTTGTAATTGGGTTTTGACTATGAAGTTCAACAGCTGCTGAAGAGGGTTGAATAGTCCAAATGCATTTGGCTCGGCTTCAGACTGAATAGGTCAATGATTCATCAAGCACCCATCCAAACTATCTGTTTCTGATTGAAAGAGAAATATAGGGTTTCAGAGATTTCACAACCCATTCCCTAACACCACATTCTAACATCGAAAATCCACAGGCCATCAGTATAATGCCTTGCCTCCCCAACATTATTCCAGCAGCTTTTACATTGAATTTGACTTCAACAGTCACTCTGCAAAGGCAACGCAGTTGGAAGAAAATCACAGCGACAGATACCCTGAGGTGAGATGCGGCCTTTAACTGTATGTATACGGGTACATCTCACCCACTGAACGAATGTGTGACGGATAACAGAAAAAGAACAGTTCGAACCACATTTGAGAGCATTTTTTAAAACAGCAGGTGATTTATCCATAAGTCTGTTCAAGTCTAATAATCAACTTGCGTCAGCATCATGTTGACAGATGATGTAATTAAAATTACACTGTTATGATTATAAAAGTATATATTTGAGACTTTAGACTATATAGATCTATATTTATATGATACTAGAATTAATCCCTTTTGACATTACAGTACAAAACAGCTCTTTCGGCATTATCCTGAAGATTGTAACCATTCATTTCATGTGTAATAGAATGTAAGAGAGGCTCTCAGTAGCATGTGTAAAAGTCACATCCTTTTTGATTTTCCCTGCAAAGTCCTTCACATAAAAATCAGTCTACAGGGTTTCATAGACAAAAAAAACAAGAGCTTACCCAAATTCCTAGGTTAAGTTTTGTAACAAGCTGTTCACACACTGTAAATAAAAAAAGTGATTCATATATGACAAATACTTGAGGGAATAGTTCACCTAAATATGAAACAATTTTTCATCTTTTACTCCGCCTCAAGTTGTTCCAAACCTGCATGAGTTTCTTTCTTCTGCTGAACACAAAAGAAGATATTTTGAAGAATATGGGTAACCAAACCCCATTGACTTCCATTATATTTGTTTTTCCTACTATGGAAGTCAATGGGGTCCATCAACTGTTTGGTTACCCATATTCTTCAAAATATCTTCTTTTGTGTTCAGCAGAAGAAAGAAACTCATGCAGGTTTGGAACAACTTGAGCCGGAGTAAATGACAAACATTTGGGGTGAACTATTCCTTTAAAGTCCCCATGAATTCAAAATTGACCATACTTACTTTGTTTGCCTAAAATTGATGGTTTTGTGGTGAACAATTCATCCATGCAAGTCAATCCACACAAAAAAAATGTTTTGGCTTCGTAATCTTTAATCAAAATCTGACATTTCCCCTCCCCTCTGCATTGGAGGACCTTTCCTTGATGACGTAGGTTTGACGGTTTGGGCGTCTGCTTAACATCCGTAACCACGCCCCTCCAACTGACAGTAGACAGGCTGAATGACAACACCTACTTTTCTAGATCCAATCAGGTGCTAGTTGGAAAAAAGCCACGCCCACTATTTTGCCTCATTTAGTATTCCGTTTCTCTCGGAAATACGTCACAACACTGGAGAAAAGTCGTTTGCAACTTCCGGTTCACGGGGACTTTAATATTAGAACACTGATTTAGTGAACTGGCAGAATTAAATCTGTTTAGACCATATCTGTAAACGAGAGCAATTTAGAAGACAAATAAAGCAGACAACACAATATATTAATAACCAATAGTATTTAATGATCGCTCCGATTTTCTGCCCTGTACCCCTGAACTAGCTCCGCCCCCGCTAGAGAGTTCTTTCCCACAAACAGTAAAACAGGATCAGGCAATTAACCGCATCACCAGACCTAAACATATATGACTGTGTAATTTTTGAACGCATTTGTGTCTGTATGTGTGAGGCACAACACTTTTAATCAATGAAAAATAAAATCTAACTTTATCTCATTTTCCAACATTAGATTGAGTCCAAAGACACAATGAGAAACAAGAACATACTTGGGGAGGAGGAGGGGGAGGAGGGGGGGGGATCACTTAGTGTCGCTAAATCTAAAAGAATATGCTTCCTAAAATTCATGACATACCAGCATAAAGAAAAAAAGAAAAAAAAAGGACAAGAAAAAGAAAAGAAAAGTAAACACTCAAGTCAAACAGCACCACCTACCGGTAGAGCTCAGCTTTGGTCATAGAATACGGGTGAGAAAGACAAAGACAAACACCTCCAGAGACAAACAACTGGGCTAGACCTGTCCATCTCTCACAAGGAACAAACATCTGATTCCCAGCATAGACAATCAGCTAACAGAGGTCCTGATGCTGATTTGGCCTCAGCATTTATTATGTGATCGGAGATCAGAAAGGCGTTTAAACTAGGGCTAACTATTGTTGAAATGAACCCACTGACAGTATTGCTTCCAAAAGTTCATAGATCCATTCCAGAGGCAAAAAATAACAAGTAAGAGCGAGGAAAATGGGCCGGGACAGGCTTTGTGTCAGCAGGGAGCGTCTCCAGATTCTTTAGGAATATTGTACACTTGAATGCACATTAATATGAGTGGGCTTGTCCCTTCAACGGTGTTGCCATGTAAGAAAAAAGAAAAAAAAATTCAAGCTGACCTCGTTATAAATGTGTCTATACATGTGTATGCATGTATTTGTGTATTGTGGGGTGCAGGGCATATACCAGTCTCTCCCATCAGTCTGAGCCATTGCAGTTCAGTCCTTCTCATGTAATACACCCTTATTTTGAATTCCTCTCGCTCTGTCTCACACTAGGGGGCGCTTTTTAGTCCCCACCCATCCAAAAAACATTAAATAAAAACAAAACAACCCTCCAGATGCCTGGGAGAGGAAAAAGGGTGGAGGGGGATGCGTCTCGTCTTAATCCCTCTCTTACTCTTTCCTCCTGCTCCCTCGTTTGGCAGGTAAGGGGTTCGAGACCCCTCCCACTACACTGCAGAGAGGGGCGGGGCAAAATGCAAATGCCCTACAACCCTTCCTTCCATCAAAACAAGCGAGGATGGACGGGGCTCTCAATTTGAGGCGCTGCTGTTGGAGGAGCTGGAGGTGGAGGCGACGGCCATGCTGTTGTTACCGGTGGCAGCCACTGACTTGCGTATGTGTGGGAGGAGGTAGGGATCACTGGCTAGCTGGTGAACGTCAATACGATCCTCCTTACGGTACACCAAACATCTGCGAATGAAGGCCTGAAGTAGACAAGGAATTCATTCGCATTAGCAAATGTTCATTTATCATAGCATGTTCAAGCAGAACACCATCATAAAAGTCTTTCAAAAATATACATTAGACACCAAACTTTTGCATGGTAGTGTAACTAAATTGTTATTATTCCAATAAATATGAATAAATGTCAATTTAAAGAACTAGGGATGATTTATAATTATAGTCAAATGCAGAAGAGAGTCACGATGTTTAAATCGAAAAAATTGTACCACACTGGAGATATACTCCTGGGACAATTTGGATGTAAAAGGGATTGATAGGAGAACAGTAACCCTTATTCATGACACTCAGATACTTCAACAATCCTAGGACTGAACTTCTCTGCTCTGAGATCACACCATGGCCAGCTTCAACTCATCCTCCCACCAAATGCTGGAGTGATGTATCCCGATTGTCAAGCAGAAGGAGTTGGATTAAAATATTCCGAGTGATATCAATCCACAATCTGCCTGGAATCATATTCACACAATGTTGGCTCATTTGTCCACAGCAGAACTGGCCCCCCGATTGAGCCTAGTTTCTCAAGGTTTTCATCTCCATTCTGTCACCTGATGGATTTTGGGTTCCTTGCCACTGTCACCTCTAGCATGCTTAGTTGGGGACACTTAATATTCAGTAATATTATTGATTTGACTGCATTGACACTATTGGATTGAACTGAGCTGGAGATTACATCACTGTTCTCATTCCATAATTGCTGAACTTTGAACTATTGTCTTTTTAAGAGCTGCTTTACAGCAGAAATGAATTCTGTTTGCACTACTGATCAGTACTTTCCTGTTTATCCCTGTAAAGCTGCTTTGAAACGATCTGTATTTGTAAAAAAAGAGCTACATAAATAAAAGTGACTTGACCATGAAAGAAAAGACAGAGACAATGAACTGTTTACAAAGGTACCTTAGCTTCAGGCGAGACTCCTGGTTTGGGAGGAAACTGCACCTCTGTGGCTTTGAGAATAGTGTTCTCCTGGAGGATGTCCTGTTGGGATTGATTATGACCGAACGGCTGTGTGGAAAAGTATGAAAATGATGAGGTGAGAAAGCTACTAATATCTCAGTGGACAGTGAGTATGCAACCAGTATTAGAAAATGTACAAGTGTGTCTTTTACCTTCTTCCCATAGAGGCACTGGTAAAAGATGACTCCAACGGACCAAACATCCACTTTGTTAGAGATCTTAGGTGGCTCTTTTCCAACCACAAAGCATTCTGGGGGAAGATACCTAGAGCAGAGTAAGGCAAGAGTTTTGCATTTTGGGCTCAGCTGCTTATCCAAACTTTCAAACCATAAATGACTTAACACTACCTTAAAATCAACATTGTCAACTTTGTGTTTAGGGAGATTTCACAAAATTTGACCAACTTCAAGAACTTCACAAATTCTGGTCATTGCAGACCACTCACCAGTATGTCCCCGCCCCCTGTGACGTCAACTCCATGCCGTCCACCCCATAGTTGTCGTCGTCCATGATCTTGGACAGCCCAAAGTCTGTGATTTTTATCTCTCCACATGCTGTGCCATTCACCAGCAGGATGTTACCTAGACAAACACAAGGATCAAACCTCTCCATCAAAATGGTGCCGTTCTCATTCTCGGCCCAGTATAGAAGTTCAATGGTCTGCGGGTGTCATACGCATGTCCTACCTGGTTTGAGGTCGTAATGGATGATTGGTGGGCGGATCTCATTTAGGTACTTAAGAGCATTGACGACCTGCATTATGATGGATCGGGCCTCTTTCTCTGACATTAGCTTGTGCTGCTTCAGGTAGAAATCCAGATCGTTCCCCTCACAGTACTCCAGAACAGTGCAGAATCTAGAAACAATACCACATAAAACAATTTATCTCTCCACTTTAAGGAGTGAAACAATGGAAAACAAAACTGCACCAATCAAATAGGTTGATTACCCCAAATTAGTGAAAATGATCTTGAAATGAGTTTCAAATCAGAGACAATTCGTATTTCAATAAGACAAGAGCAAGTTTACTCACGAGTCAGTATCCAGGGAGAAGTAGTCATACAGTTTGACTATTCTGGGATGGTCCAGTTCTTTATGGATCCTATATTCTCGACAGGCATGCCTAAAAACATTTCATGTCAACCCATTTTAATTAATAAGTGGTGCTGAATAAACTTTTCTTTGACAGAATAATGAACCATATCTGAATCTTTAAACATAATGAGAACAATGGTATTGGTATACAAGTTAATCAATTTTAGTCAGGATTTATATTTTATATTTTTAGAAATCAGGCCTCAGAATTCCAGTCTGGTTCAGAAAGAGGAATGCATTCTGGGACAAACACACTTGGCTCCTAATGCTGAACCAGTAGTTTTTAAGAAACAAGGCTGGAGAAGGTGTTTGCACTCACTTGTGATAGTTCTCTTTCTTTTCATCTCTCCAGTTCTTATTAAGCTGGTGAATTTTCACAGCCACGTACCTCTGCTCAGTCAAATCAAAGGCCTGAAGAAAGAAAATAGAACAGGAAGAGTGAGTCAGACATAAATATCAGCACCAATCGATTAGTGAAGCTGCCTAATTTATCTACTTTTTTTCTTATATTTTCATTCTATTGCGCTCCCTCCAGCTGTTATTGAAACAAAGAATGTGTCTTATGTGAACAGCCCATGATTTCTTCTTTAAGATGCCCAAGTCTTCCAGTCAACCCAATGACTAGTTGATTATGAAGATATGTAGATTTGACCATCCCTAAACCCAACTACACATTCACATACATGTTTCCCATCACAGATCTGCTTACCTTGTATACCTCACTGAAGCCTCCTCTGCCCAGCAGATGCAAGAGCAGGTAACGGTCATTTAGCGTAGGATGATCTTTAAACCTGAGAGTCGAAGAGACAATCGGACAATGATGCAATAGATAAATCCACCATAGACCCCGTTTAAACTCAGAAAAACCCTCAAAAGCCCTCTAAAAAATAAACCCTGTACTGAAACCAAAAAGGCGAAAGTGTGGAAATAAACTTTGAAAGTGCATACTGGGAGTTATCTTCATTGTGAATTCTCTTGAGCTCTCGGATGTGAAGATTACGCACGCGCTCCAACCGTTCCAGCTCCACTTGAATCTCCGCTTCCTCCTGCCAGACAGACACACACACACACACTTCAGACATTAAGACCTGTTTCCATGACAACACAAATTTAATCACACTTGTATGTGTGAATGTGATGATTTGAATACCTTCTTCAGGTGTCCGAGTCTCAGTTTAAAAATTTCTTCTTGCTCATGGTATTCTGCTAAAGATAACCTGTGAGGACATAAACAAATTAGGACAAAATCCATTTAAGTTGAATCGCTAAACTACTCAAAGCCTAACATGAGGGAAGAAAGAAAACTCACATCTCGTTCTCCGCGCCGTTGCTCTTGCTCTTGCGTTTGTTGGGTTCTAGGTTGGGAGGAGGAGTCTGACTGGCGTTGGGCGGTTTCCTCTTCATCAGCAGTTTCCTCTGCCTCTCTATGTCCTCTCTCTGCCCATTGACTCTCTCCTGTTGTCTATACAGACACACAGCAGCATAAGAAAGTTAAAGGTGCTCTAAGCGATGTCATGTGTTTTTTAGGCCAAAACATTTTTTGTCACATACAGCAAACATCTCCTCACTATCCGCTGGCTGCCTGTCCCCTGAACACACTGTAAAGAAACGCGATCTCTGTAGACAGCCCATGCTTCACAAACAGCACCAAAAACAAACTGCAGCGACCCGCTCCCCAAAACATAACAAACTGTTCCAGCCAATGACCGACAAGAAGGGTTTGGGGGTGTGGTTTGGGGGGTTAGTGTGCGGATGAGGAGGAGGGAGGGTCTAGCTAGCCTCCGTTTTGTTTGACAATAGTTCGAACGTCAACAAGAAGTGACGTCACCCAGGATCGCTTAGAGAACCTTTAAGTCTGATGATCAGTAGTTTCAGGCTACAAATTCAAAACATTTTTATTTTATACAACACATTTCCTAGCTTTTCTTTCCATATTTCATAGTATTCATAAAGTTCTACACACCCTCCACTCTTTGCATGTTTGTTTCTTAAATATTTTGGCTAATATGATTATACTATCTTATACTAGGGATGCACCAATACCACTGTTTCCAAAACTAGTACGATACCGATATGTTTATTTTTGGTACATGCCGATACCTCTATTTTCATTACATTTATAAATTTAAAAAAAATATTGTGTAAAAAAAAACAAAAGAATACGAATCATATTAGTTGGCTTAATAAATGTAGCTAATTGATATTTCCTTCAATTATTAGTTGTGCTTAATTATGCATGTTAAAGGGATGGTTCACCCAAAAATATTTTTTTTGTCATCAGTTACTCACCCTCAAGTTGTTCCAAACCTGTATGAGTTTCTTTCTTCTGCTGAAATCAAAATATTTTTTTGTACCATTCAGTCCTTAATATCCTGACTATTCCCAGCTTTATAATTTAATATAACTCCTATTGTGTTTGGCTGAAAGAAGAAAGTAATATACACCTAGGATGGCTTCAGGGTGAGTAAATTATGGAATAATTTTCATTTTAACCCTTTAATGTGTCAAATCAAATTTATAACATGCATCATTTTGAACTATTTATTTTTTAAAATCTCTTTTAGTGGAGAAAATATGAAGAAAAAAAGGGTCTGGGGTTAACCCAAAAAGCACAATACTACATTGTTATGAAGAGTTAACATTCTTTTAAAAATTATGTTCATAATTTTAACCTAACATTTACTTTTTTTTTTAAGTCATATCCATTGCAATAAAAAAAAAACCCAGATAATTAAAAGAACACAATTTTTATCTGCTCAGCATATAAAAAAAATGCTTACTTTTTAAAGAGTTGACTATGATAAGAATTTACTGTGATTCTGAAACAAAAAATCCGCAAACAAAGCACTTGCGTCACTTTACAAAATTGAGGTTAAATCATTAGAGTCACATGGATTACTTTAATGATGTCTTTACTACCATTCTGGGGTTTGACAGTGGTAGTTGCGTAGCTGTCAATGGAGGGACAGAGAACTCTCAGATTTCACTAAAAAGATGTGTTCCGAGGATGAAAAAGTCTTCCAGGTTTGGAGAGAAACGAGGGCGAGTAATTAATGGCAGAATCTTTGGGTGAACTAACCCTTGCTGAGAGGACAGTGTTCACCAAGTTGTTGTCTGTTCGTTCGTGCTTAACACCATTCCAGCTTCCACTGATATGTTCATGGTGAAACGGACCATATTCTGTCAGCGCATGTCAAGTGTGCGTGTGTGCAACATTTGCGTAGTCTCTGAAGTTTGAGAGCGTGTGTATGTGCAACTCACGTACTTGACTAGATTCTGAAAGGCGTAGCCATCTGTCCACTGCTCAGTAAATGAGGCCCCGTGCCGTACGGTGGTGAAATGGCCCAGACGTAGCCGGTCCTGCATGCTCTTTTCTCTGCAAGCAATTTTCTCCTGTTTGGACTGAAAACATACCCACAATTTATTAATTGCATTATTATAACAACGTAACTCATACAGAACACTACCAGACATTAACCATCACGTCTTCTCTGAACACACATTTACCTTTTCGATAAGCAGTTTCTTACTCATGGTCACACATTTATTGAGTCGTTCTTTACATCGTTCCAGCATCTTCTGCTGCTCATCGATTTGTCTGCGAAGGTCACAGTTCACCTGCAGCGCACAAACACACCAACATAAACACGGTATTCTTCAGGAATGCATTTTAAAAACAGATATAAGCCAGATTTCATTCATGTTGAGTCAGTGGCATTCACGGCTTACAGATTCATAATTAAATCCCACTTTGTGTGTACACTTTTGTTCAAAAGTTTTGGGTCAGTTTTTTTTTTCAGCTTTATGAAAAAAAGTCTCAAGGCTTTTATTTAATACAAAATACAGTAAAAGCAGTAATATTATGAAATATTATAATTTAAAGACTTTTATATATATATTTTTTTTTAATCATTACTCCAGTCTTCAGTGTCACGTGATCCTTCATAAATCAGTCCAATATGCTGATTGGCTGCTCAAGAAACAATTCCTAGTATTATCAATTCTGAAAACAGTTAATATATTTGTGGAAACCATGATTTGTTGATGAATACAAGATTCAAAAGAACAGCAATTATTTGAAATAGAAATCTTTTGTAACATTACAAATGTCTTTACTGACACTTTTGATCACTTTAAAGTGACCTTGTTGAATAAAAGTATTAATTTCCTTTAAAAAAAAAAAATTCTAACACACCTGACACTTTTGAACAGTATTGTAAATAGCAATGATGGGCAGCAAAATATCTAGCAGATTTTCATATCGATGCTGTGTGTGAAAGTCGTACCCTGAGCAGGTCGTCAATACGTCCCTCTTTCTTCTCCAGATCTGAACTCTTACTGCTCTCCAGCGCTGCTAACTTCTCCATTGTCAACTCAGACTGAGAATGAATGACCGAAGCTGGGTGTTAGCGTGAGGATCTGAAAGTGTCTGTGTAGGTGTGAGCGTGTTTTTAGAAGTGTGCGTGTTACCTGTGTGGCTCGGTGCTGAGTTTGTGTAGAGGCTGGCTTGTGGGAACAGGAGGAGTGGGAGAGGTCTGTGGTTACTGAGCCGATGGAGGAGGGGCTTCCTTGCTGCACCTGTCAATCAAAAACAAAAACTTATTTCCATCAATACAAAACACGACCCTTTGTCTTTGATTAAACGAAATTGCCACTTTGCATTTGCCAGTCCTCTGCACTGCAACTATAATAATTTTTATTATAATAATAATAATAACAATAATTACTGCTAATGTGACAGTACATGAATAAATATAATTATAACTTCGATTATAATGCTTGTTCTGAACTGCTTGGGCACAGCTACAGCAATAACTTGTCATCTTACTACTAAGCATCAGTTACAGCAATACACAATTTACAATGCACACTATATGTATGCACACTCTCATCCATATGTATGCACCTCTCTATATTCAGGATCTTCTACATAAACATTCACCGGGTCGGCTCTTACGGTTTTCTGGTCTGGACCTCTTACTTGTCCCTAGAACACGTCTTAAGACTAAAGGGGATTGTGCTTTTTGCACTGTGGCACCGAGGCTTTGGAACTCTCTTCCATTAGCACTGAGAACTGTGGGTTCTGTTAATTCTTTTAAAAAACTCCTGAAGACGCATCTTTTTGGACTTGCTTTTATTTAACAGCAGTGGTTACTTGTCGTTTCATGTTTGTGAAGATTGTTTTGTGTGTTGTGTTATGGTGTATTTATTGTATGCATGTTTTGATCCTTTTTATTAACAGATTGTAAAGCACTTTGTGACTTCTTGTCTGTGAAAGGTGCTATATAAATAAATTTTACTTACTTACTTACATACCTATTCAGGTATTTAAAATTTAATTTTTAATAATCTATAGTATTTATTGTTGTAGAGCATTGCTCAAAGTGTTGTTTTTACTGCCTAAATGCAAGTTAAATATATATACATGGCTGAAATTACATAATCGATTAAAATACTACACCCAAAAATTTAAATTCTGTCATAATTTACTCGCTCTCATGTTGTTCCAAACCCATAAGCCTTTGGTTCATCTTTAAAACACAAATAAAGATATTTTTAATGAAACCCGAGAGGTTCCTGTCCCTCCATTGAATGTCCAGGTAAACAAAACCTCATAAATACGTTGTAAAACAAATCCATATGAATCAAACAGTTTATTGCCAGTCTCGATCGCTTTATATGATGAGCAGTTTTAAATTACATCTAAACAATTATCGACAGATTTGACACGGATAGATAGAGCACATCACATCTGGTAAGCGTGTGTGTGTGTGATGGTCGAGAAACAATGAGGTTTGTTCTAGTGTGTGACACACATGATTCCGTGTTTACCATATGTGATGCGCTCTATGTATGCAAGTTAAACCTGTTCATCATATAAAGCGATCATATCTCTTCACAAGACTTGTATTAAACTTTCCGATTTATAAGGATTCATTTAACTTTTTGGATCGTCTAAATTTTAGTTACCAGGACTTTCAATGGAGGACCAGAAAACTCTCAGGTAGGCTTGCTTGGGTAGTCGATGTTACCGGTGTTACACAGTGTTCAGAGGGTTTAGAACAACATGAGCGTGAACAAATGATTCAATTTTCATCTTTGGGTCCCTTTAATAGTTATATCAAATCACTACATGAATAGAAAGAGAGGTCTGGCAGCAAGAAAGAAACTCACGGCAGCAGGAGGGTTGGAGAGAGAGTGCTGAGGAGAGGACCGCACCACTGGAGGAATGCCACGTGCTGGACTGGTACCAGTACCACTACCCCCTGCAAACTACACAGAAACACATGACTGAGAGGTTAAATCAGAGGAAAAGAGCATGGAAATAGAAGTCAAACCACAATGCGGGTCAAATGGCTATTAATGACAGAATGAATGAACTACATGCACCTACCTCAAAATAATCACTAATTTTGTGTCCTCTCCCTCCTCCTTTGCCTAGGTGGGGGAAATCAGAACAATAGTCATTAAAGGGATACTTCACCTCTGGAAAGATGAATGTGTATTTAAAATGGGTCATTTATGTAGAAGAAATGTGAAATTATTTTTGAATTTGGAGCTTTCTAGACTGAGAAAATCCAGAAAATGTATTTTTGAAAAACAACAACTCCCAGAATGCACTTGCTTCGCTGCCCTAGGAGGCCACGCCTACCGGTAACAGAGCGCAGTAGTTAAACAACAAGTCTAGGCTACTAGTGAGTCTCCGTGATGAGTCTGCCCGAAAATGTGTTTCGAGATCGCCCAAAATGTCCGGGATTCGGTTTTTGCGTTCTACAGTCGCCATTCATTATGTTTACTGTGGCGAGCAGGACGAGGCTAGGCCCGCGGGAGAACTGCGCGAGGCCGGTGGCGTGATTACCGATGAGCGACAGCTGTGAGACGCACCGGTCTCAAATCTCTCACGGAGGAGCAGGAATTTTCTTAGCAATGTTAAAACGCACATCAAGCGATCACTTGTTTAGCGTTCATGTAAACACTACATTCAGATTCACCAATCGGAATGAATTCAGTTAGATTGAAACAAAAGGTGTGCGTGTAAACAATGAATGGCGACTGCAGAAAGCAAAAGCTGAATCCCGGACATCGACGGCCGGACATGTCCGGGAAAAAGAGGATGGTGACCCCTACTACTCAGCTTTCTCCACAGAACAAGAGCCTGATAGCTTAGCTTCCAAAAAAAGATGGCTGACACTGTGTACATTCTGTGAGTGAGATCCCACCCTCTATGGGCGGGTTGAGAACATGCGGGACAGCCCCTACTACTGGCTGTAGTCTTTAGCCTCTGGCCAAAAAATCGATTTTTGCATCATCTGAGGATTTTTTTCCAGACAAAAAATACATAAATCTCTCGTCTCAGGGGGATATGAGGGTGGAAAGCACGGTAATTCGAAAATACTACAGGTTTTCTACTAATACAAAGCTTAATGCTAAATCCTAAAGTATCCCTTTAAGAGAAAATACACTCTAAAAGACATAACATTGCCAAATGCTCTCATAGCAGGTCTATCAATCACATCAACTTACCCTGGTTGTCAAAGGGGTCTCCTTTCCTTTTACGTGTTCTCTGGTCATTAGATTTCTTCTCTGGGGTCTGAGTAGGGAGACAGAGAAGAAGAAGAGAGAGAGAGAGAAAGAGAGACAGACATTGTAAGCTGCCAGGCGAATGCTAGAATCCATGACATCACCTCATTCCACAACCCCATTCATTCCAGAAGTTTCCATTGAAATGTTAGAGGCTCATACAACCTGAAAGACTGGACATCAACATACAAAGACACAACAATCTCTGTATATCTGGCCGGTTTCAAATAAATTGCCTCAGTTTTAGTTTACAACATCTAGTAATGCTGTTTTTTAACAAAATGGTTAAAGTGTAACTTTGTAACAATAGAAAGCGGGTTGAGCGGGCAATGTCGGTACTAGTATATATAAATGATGGTTACTACCGTAGTTGTCCATGTTACCTGGACTTCCGTGAAAACTACAGATTATACTTTCAGCTTTATCACTGAAAACTGTATCGTTCTACGTCTAGACCTGAATTGTTGCACCTGGGAACAACAATACAAGTCAACAACATTATGACTAAAAGTTTACTAAGAAGTATTTCCTACTGGGCATTATGGATGTTGTTTTCCTACCTATTTGGCAAAAGGGAAGACAGCAGCCTTATTTCTCTGTTTTCTCTAGTCAGGTAGCACAGATTTATTTTTTCTTCACCTTTGCACTGTATAGGCAGCCAAGTTTATTTGAAAGCCCATTTTGCAAGCAGTGAAGTAGCCCTTTAATTGTTCTTCATATTTCATTACTTCCCTGTTCACAACGTGGACGTCAACCATAACACTTTAAAAGTTGTTCTAATTCGAAGTCCAGACCACAACTATAACAATAACAACACAGAGGAATGATATTGTTGGAGTCATTTTCAGCAGGGCTGCCCCCTCACAGTCAACCAAACGTTAGTCAACCAAAATTTATCTAGGCAGTAGGTCTCCAAAAAAAAAAAAAAAAAAAAACTCCACAAGAAGTGGCGAAGTCTCGCAGTCCGTGAGGGACAGATCATTAATGGTGAGTCCTTGTGACAATTACAGTATGTCCGGTAGGAAATCCAGACGTTCGTCAATCATCAATCGACCTCAAATATGGCTTATTTGAAATTGAAACGTGCAAGTGGCAGCAACTTTATATGGCTGCTAGCTATAAGGTTAACCTAGATAGCATTATCCGTTAGAACACAGCACGATCACTAGCATTTTTTCTGATAACAGCGGAAACAACTTAAAATACTAATTTATCACGATACAGATAAGAGCAATACATCATTTGAAACTTATTTGCCTAAACTCCGTTAACAAAAAAAACAGGATGCGCTTGCTGTCGTCTGTCTCCGTGAACTAGAGCACGTCACAAAAATTAAACGAAACTCAGCATAGACTACTTGCCTCAGACATGAGCAAAACAAAAACTCAGTTAAATAGTCAGTTCTTTGAGAGAACATTCATTCTAAAATTCATTGTTAATTTTTTCTCTACACTAAAATGACGTACTATCTGTTTGCCTGCCCAATGGCAGACAGGGTCATTATTTCTGAAATTTCTTAAGTTGAAAATATTTGCACACTTTTGTTGTGCATTTCAATGACTAACAAAATCCAGATGCCAAATATTAAAGAAAGGAAAAACTAAATCCAGGTGTAAAAGAAACAGAAGCAACAAAGTCTTCAACCACAAGCACTGTGTTATCTTATTGGTGAAATAAATAAAACATGGCACCAACTACAACATTTTGAACACCAAGCTGGACCTCCCTGACTGTCAACATGATGCAATTGTCAGCTAACATGTTTCATCTACTATAGACCGAAGCAGAGATACTTTAGAGACTCAATGACTTTTTCGCATCAACACAAAATGTGTACTAACCTCCAGCTCTTTGTCACTGAGGGAGCCCACGCTACACAAGCTCTGGTTAGATGACTCGTTGTGTCCAGAACCCTGTAGAGAGGAAGACAACGGATAACTGGATTTGCATTTCCTAAATCTAAAGATCGGTGCTTGTAAGGCAGGAAAAAAACAGTGATATAAGTCTTTAGTTCAGTGAAAATGAAACACATAAAAGCCGCTTCGTAGTTGGCACCAATACCTTTTCAACTTCAATCCAGCAACTTTGCAGTGTACTTCGCAGCATGAAAAACTAAACTTGCATTCAGATTGTGAATGGGTAATAAACAGAAAGCAAGAGAAGAGCCCTTTATGATCACTAAAGCAGTCAATCTCTAAAGCAATGAATTCTGCACTCTCGCTAAAACTCCTGTTATAATAATAATAATAATAAAAAGCTGTCTTGTACAATGAATCTCTAATTTAGATTATGTGTTCACTTTGTTGGTTATAATGAAAGGAATCACAAGCGTGCGGCTCACATTGTACAAGACAAAACCTTGTGAGTTTTAAGCAGTGTTAAAGCAACACCAAGTAACTTTTCCTCTGCGGTCGCCCTACAGGTTGGAAGCGGAATTGTCCATTACCGCTGTCGTAAATAATTTAGCCTACCGCAGCCTACTGTCGCACGCACACTCGTTGCTTATCCAGCACCGGCTTTGGAATGAACAATGTCCACAGACAAGGTAGAGTATGTTGCATGATTTCATGAAAGTATAATGTATTGCGACATCAGAAACGAAGAAAAAAAAAAAAGAAGACTATTGTAACGCTTGACGTAAAGCAAGTCAAATTTGTAGTTTTCTTATGTCTCATTAGAACAAAAGAAACGCGACCCGATCTGGCAATCTTACAAATATATAAATATAAATGATTTATGTAGAAAACATATAGTAGTATGTATACAATTATGATTTCTTTTTTTTTCATTTTCTTTATCTTGATTTTCTTTGGACATTTCTATGTGAGATGTGACGTTATCCTGCATGTAGCATTTTGTCATAAGGCATATTGATAAATGACGCATTAGTTGTTTAATGCATTCGGTTGATTAAATTGTCAATATACTTTAATATGTGTGCTATGTTAATTGTGGGGGTAAGGGCAGGTGAGCGAGTTATTGTTTTGTATATATGTCTATGTTTGTATTGTGTTTTTGTATATGTACTGTGTGGTTAACCTTTGTGTCTGTACATATGTATGCTGCAGGACCCCCTTGAAAATGAGATGATACATCTCAAGGGGTTATCCTGAAATAAATTCAAATTCATATGATTGTGATTTGCTTTAATGCTTAACGCCTAATGTATATATATATATACACACACACACACACACAGTCATGCTCAGAATTAATGGCATCCCTGGTAAATATGATCAAAACTGGCTGTAAAAAATAAATCTGCATCGTTTAGCCTTTTGATCTTTCATTCGCAAAATTGCCAAAACTCTAACCTTTCATTGAAGTAAAAGAATTGAAAGTGGGGGGGGATCACATTATGAAATAAATGTTTTTCTCCAAAATACATTGGCCACAATTATTGGCAGTGGCACCCTTTTATTAAATACTTTTTGCAATCTCCTTTGGACAAGATAACAGCTCTGATATTTCTCCTACAACGCCTGATGAGTTTGGAGAACACCTGACCAGAGATCAGAGTCCATTCCTCCATAAAGAATCTCTCCAGATCCTTCAGATTCCCAGATCCATGTTGGTGCTTCTTCTCTTCAGTTCACTCCACTCATCAGGTCAGGGAACTGGGACGGTCATGGCAGAAGCTTCATTTTGTGCTCCGTAACAAATTTTTGTATCAATTTTGATGTTTTTTTGGATTGTTGTCCTGATGGAAGATTCAACCACGGACCATTATAAGATTTCTAGCAGAAGGCGTCAGTTTTTGATTTATTATCTGTTGATATTTGATAGAATCTACGATGCCATGAATCTGAACAAGAAGTCCAGGACCTCGAGCAGAAAAATGTACCCACAGCATTAAAGATCCTACGGTATATTAAATTGTACACATGGGATACCAAACAAATACAAAGCAGCGTCTATCGGAGGGTACCGAATATTCCAAGTCCTCTGTACTTCCGGTGCTGCAGAAATTCTGGTACCGACATTTTTTTTTTTAGCACTGACTGGTATTGATAGTACCGGTAGGTTTGACAACTCAAATCAAAATTTTCTTGAGGTCAATATCAGCCATGTGGGGTACTGGAAAATGTTAAAAATGCCCAAATAGCTTTAAAATTATTATTTCTGGCATTCACGTATACAAGACCAACACTTTAATTATCCGATCAATTCTGATCCCATCACAAAATAAATTGGGTTACAAATGGCAATTCATAATGACTTCAATTAATTTAGCTAATTGTCAGATTTTTATCAACAAAAAGCAAAATGTGGATTTTTTTATCTTTTTTTATTTCTGGTTTCCCTCTCTGTTTTCCTATTTCAGAGACTAATAATTGCTAAACCTGCCTCTAATTCGCTCTTCTCATTGTCTGTAGACCTACAGGTAAATTATCTAAAACTGAAAAGAGTTTAATGTTTTGGGTGAAGAAATTAACAAAAAAAAAGTACAAAAAGTGTCGCTTTTTGCTACTTTCTCGCTGAAAGCTCTAGTTCAGCGAGAAAGTAGCATACGAGTTATTAATTACCTCATTACCTCAGTTTTTATACATGTTATTAATGAGCCCGTGTTAACTCAAATAAAGTTGTGTAAATAAAGCCTTCCTGCTTTGAGCTAAACATGCAATGAAATACAGAGAGAAAGAGTGACAGATGCTGGTCACTCTGGTCAGGTCAGGCTAAAACCCTCCACAATCCAATAACAAAGTGATAAACACCCGTGCAGCAAACCTACAGACTATTCTTAATCATTTACTTGGTAAATTCTCACACCAAACCAAACAGATGCAAAGAAAACGGTCATACTAACTCTCACACAACATCCAGCATTGGCCAGTCAGTGGGGAGGACTCTCATGGCCATGGCAGTGACCAATGAATGAACTAACACTGAAAAACTGGCAAACCTATTGTCCTACTCATAACTGATCCAAATCTTTTCCTCAGTAAAAGACACACATTGCAAATGCCGATTGATATCCAAAGTCTTTCTGTGGTTCCCCAATACTAAAATGACTGATTCAATAGAAAAACTGAGACAGATCAGTCCGCAAGCTGTTCAAACACAATCATAACTACTTCTCGATGCATTTAGAAAAGTATTATTTAGAATGCATGTAAAACAGCTTTTTCCCCCAAAAAATGTATCTGATGCTTGTACACTAGATGAATTGCTCTTTAACAGACATCTTGGAGATGTACATGTGCTATCTGGGTACATTCAACTTTGACTGAAATACCTCAGAGAGAGAGACAGAGAGAGAGAGTTCAGCAGAAATGAGTTGTTCTTAGCGGACTAATAGGACTAGTGATGCATGGAATTTTCAGCAAATAAAAAAAAAAAAGGAATTTAAAATGAAGTAATCAATTAATTTCGGAGGGCCGAAATAATGACTGTAACAGAGACGTTTAATTCGATATTTTGTGCAGACAATGTGGGTAAGCTATACAGATAAACATGTCAGGAGTGTGGACACACTTCACTGTGATCAAAAATTATGCTAGAGTAGAAGTAAAAAAAAAACTAATTCGGTTGAAAATATTGAGGGGTGGCTTGTTGCCAAAGACCTTTAATACAACTGGTTTAATTTATCACATGAGAAATTGACACCCAATTCAGTTACCCAGTAACCCAAATTTTAAAGTCACTGTGAAATAAAAATTCTTGTTTTTTTATTGCAATATTTCCTATAAATTATTTATTTGTGAACATCATTGTTTTTAAATTCATGTACCCTCATAATATTTTATTAAAATAACTTCCCCTCTCTCTTGCAGTGACATCTCTTCTCTGATGATGTGAGGCCGTCACAACCCGTCACTCACGTGACATCACAGCAATAGCAAACCACAGCCATCCATCCAATCAAAATCAAGTCCCGCCTTACATTTCTTCTTGTTCGAGAGTTTCACTCATATGGGACAATAGGGAAGAATAGACTATCGCAACTTACGTTTCAGGCCTACTTTAATTACCAAATTTTTTTTTTTCATTTTTCGATTACATGAAATCTTTAATAAACAATAAAATAAAATAATAATTTAAATAAAAAAATAATAATTTTGATGCATCATAAATGGGACACCACCTTCACTTGACAATCAAATATCTTTTTGGTCCAAAATGCTGTCCCTTCTTAGACTAATGCTAATGACATACATGAGCTTTTGCGGAAAATGAGTGAAACAACAGCTGGGCAAAAGCAAGAGGAAAAATGAACTTAACATGCAACTGAAACTGAATGTACGAAAGCAGACAGGCCCAGGGCCTAGAAAAACACATGAATGAGTGAAGATGATCTAATGTGAGAGGGAAGGTATGTGCAGGGGTTAATGATTATCATAAACAGATAGGGATGATGGGGGCAGAAATATATCAGTTTGAGACCGGACAGACCTTGGCAACTCCGACTCCTGTGAAACGGGCCTCCAGCAACTCCTGCCTGCGAGGATCCAAGCTGTGCAATTCCTCCATCATGGCTGGAAAGAGAAGAAGAGAGTGTGCATAGCATTATGTAGCCATAGTGATGCTGACAGATTGACGGGACAGTGATGTGTACGACATGTTGAGTCATGTGTCCCCAATACATGTTTTCGAGAGCATTCTGAGATTCATGACTCAGCCTCGCCACCACCACTCATTCAGTCATAACTCACTCCAATCTAAAGCCATTTATCCTATAGATAACCTCTATCATGCAAGATCTTAAGACATGTCAAACCACATGCAACACATAACCTGCAGTGCATTTAGCAAAGGAACGTTGTTTCTTATTAATCAATCTTGTTCGCGACTAGAAAACAAATGCAATCGGTTCAAAATCATACACAGTTATGAATATTATTCGAGGAGGAGGCAGGGGGAAACAGGCACAATGAACAACTCTATATCTACTTCCTAACTAACCAACCAACCAAACTATTACAACGTTAGAGCCACCCCACCACCGATTTATATTTTAGTTAAATCTCACCCGTTGCACGTCTAATATGATTTAAAGATTCAATTAGTCAGGATTCCCTTGAATTTTTAATATTATTTCAGGATTACTTGATGAATTGGCATGGTTAAGTTCTCATTCTAGTCCAATCATTAGATGTGTGCGATTGATTGAAAAAACCGATACAAATCAGAAGAAATAACGTTTTAAAGGACAAAGGGTTTCACACAGGATCAAAACAAAAGAAACAGTATCTAAATACCGTCTCAGTATCGCTTTACCCCTGGGTTTTGCTTCTATTGTCTGTTGTTTCTATATTGCCCAGCGAATTCTTCCGCTAGCCTCCTTAAACCGCAAGATCTGTCTTGGTACCTGTTTTATCGAGGTATTTTCTCCCGCTTGCCGATTAATTAGATCTCCTTTCTTCGACCGTTCTCCTCCTCTGGTCTCCCGTCTCGCCCTTCCCGTCTCAGCCCGACATCTCAGGGCTAGGCCTCAGCCGAAACCGCGAACCTCGCCTGCGCTCGGTGCCTGCTGTGTCGCTAGGGGACGCCAGCTCCGCGTCCTACTGTAGTCCGAGGACTGCGAGAACTTCGAGGCCTTGATCTCCCGAACCCGCCTTTCTCCGCTGGCCTTCTGCGATATCTATTTTCTACCAGATCTGAGGCATGTGGAACCTCGCTGCAGATCCACACCTAATGATTTCCCATCCAACATTACTCGATTCGCTTCGAAGTTATTTAATTGTGGTGTTGTTTTTGAGATATTTTGTTTCTCTTGTTTGTCTTCGCTGCTCTGGGTCAGCACCGAACCGGGATCAAGTCCTGGAATGATAAATTGGCTCTTTAAATTCCGTTCCAGTCTAACGTCTCCTTTTAGAAAGATTAGTTGATGTAGACGAAAAAAATAATTCCCCCAATCAGATTCGCGAAATCAGAATCGATTCGGTTCTCATTTTGTGCAATGTAAACAATAATCGGTAAATCTCATATTTTCTCGTGAGATTGTGCAAAACATTTCTACCTTTCAACCACGCCCATTTCCACTAGCAAACACTTATCAATGAAAGGAAAAATAAAGTTTTTTTTTCTATATTTTTATTATAGGGTTTTATGCTGTGCACATGCAGCAACATTATTAAAGAAATATTTCAACTTTCCTGTGGAATGTTTCCCCCCAGCTTTTGCATTCAAACAGCATTAAATAAAGGGTATTAAACTTGAAAAGAAAAAGTAACAACTTCTTGGACAGTAACACAAATTGTCTTGTATTATAGTGAGTATTTAGGTGAAATGACAGAAATAGTGATTACTGCTATTGGTATAATATTTCACTTCTCAATGGATGTATACCATGTAAAATGTAAATAAAAATGTGATTGTTTTCACTATAATTTTTTCAATAAAATCATCTGCTAAATTAATAAATGTAAATGAATAATTTAACTGTAAACTTTTTTCCATTTTGAAAATAATTTTTGCACTTACAAAGTGTAATCTTTAGCCAATCAAAAAATTCCTCATTTACAGGTTTTCCACGAATGTGGGAATCCTGTTTTATCGACCTCAGAGCCCATGAAATCAACATAGGAGTTATGTGGCTTTTAGTCCACATTTAGCTTTGTGTCCAGTAAAGGACTAAAGGCAGAAGGAAGAAAAAGTAGCTGACAATCAGAAAGATGCTTTTATTTAATACCGTCATGTAGTTTATTCATAACATTTAAAAAGTCCTTAAAAACATCACTCAGTTGATGAACAAACAGTTTATGGTCCTCAGATGCATCATGTCCTCCATCAGCATTTCCAAGTAGGCTGCATAAGATTGAGTCTCCATTCCACTCAGTGCGTTCAGCACGCTTAATGGCATGTTTCAGCACCGCAATCTTCAAAGTTGTTACAACCTGTCCATCATCTTTAAAACAACCATGTCACCACATCTTCGTGGTTCAGCCCAGATGTTCTCTATCTCTCCAAATAAGCAACCTTGATTCTAAGGCGGCGCCAGGACCTTACGATACTTGCACTGTAACCAGACTCTGTACATTGTCAGCTGCTTTCCTCTGTTCACCTGTAAGCGCCGGTCCACCATGTTCTGGACCTTCTCCAAGCCAGCACTGGAAAACAGATCATGCAGCTCATCTAGAAGAAAATGACAAAAGTAAAAAATATATATCCCTGTAAAATGTGTGCCATTCTTTTATTAACTGTATTCATATTACTCTGTTATTCTGTCATGATATATTGTGCAACCAAAGCTTATTCATCAAATAGAGGTTCTTATAAGCGTACAATTCAAGTATAAACAAGCAATTACCTTGTGTGAAAAAGTAGACGCGTGTCCCATCCCCTCTAACATAGAAATTTTCAGACAAGCACCTCCCTGATTGAGTAAAGGACAAACAATTAGCCCTGTTGTTGTATTGCTGTTGTTGTTTACTGCAATATCAGCTTCACAGGCCATTTATAGGCAGATGTGGTCAATAAACACAAACATTTAATAATGACAAATTAAAAAAAATTGTACTCAAATTTTACAAAACAAGTTCTTCAAAGTTTGTGCTGATAAAAATCATGGTCTCTTTACATTAAAAATAGTGCAGACCAAAATATGTTTTACAGTAACGGAATGCTACAATATTGACATTTTGGTGGTTCTTCTCCCATCACAATTAGGCCTACTTGCTGCATTTGTGCAAGTGTTTTGAACGTGACGCAAGACAACCTACTGCAATCCGAAAATCTTCTTTGAGAAATTATTTTTAAAAAAAGTTGTAACATCAAGGATGAAAAAACAAGGATGTAACATCTACCTTTTTTGAAACGAAGCTGTGCCATGTCATAGCGACCATAGTCTCTCAATAGTAACACTCCTCCGGGTTTCAGCAATCGTGCTAATCTATTAATGGAGTTCTGCATCCTGAAACAGATGGAAGTTGAGAAGTTAATGCACTGCTAGTGGTGGACAATCAAGAGGGACGACAGGTCACTCTGTTATGTTTATTGTGTGATAATGACATTGGCCCTGCTGTCAGCCGACTTACAATAGCACACTCATTACACAGTTACATTTTAAACAAATTAATAGACATGAAATAGTGGCTATTTCAACCAAAACTGACCAATCAAAATTACATATCATCTACCAATAGTTTCGACAGCTTTTAAAGCCGTGGTTCTTCAAGACAATATTCAAAGACCTTTGTATCTAAGCTGATATGTACTTATGTTGTAATTAAACATAAGTACATATGGAAGATGGTTGAGAACCACTGTTTTAAATATTACTTGCTTTATGGTAACAAATCATTTGCAGGGTACAGGCCGTTCTAATTAAGCATTTTCTAATATAATTTTCAAGACCTTTCCAAAAAATGTTCAGACCTGCACATCATTCCATCAGCTTCAATGCGAACAAACAAAAATCACCCTGCTCAACGGTGATAAACAAATGAACACTGGACCCTTTTCACATTCCTGTTAAAGCTGCAGTCCGGCATTTTTCCTCTTTGTCGCCATCTCTGTTTGAAATCTGTAATTGCAGTTATTCGCGGAATTATTAACTTTGCGTGAGTTGCACATCGGCATGAAACAGCGCGGATGAACACAATGTTTTGAGACTGCGAGTCTGTCAGTCACCGCGCCGATGTGGAAACTGGCATTCAGAATCACACATTCTACATTTGGAAGTAGGCCTACAGTATGACCATGACAACATACGAATTTTCATCGGAAAAATGTCATCTGAACAAGTAAGTAACATCCACATCAACTAAGGGGGGAAAGCCTTGCAGTAAATCGTACTGATTAAATATAACGATCGCGTCAAACCTTTCAAATTATACTTTGTTCTCAAATTATCAACATCAGCATTGTGACTACATTTAATGTGTATTATGATTACCCTGTAGTTCAGTTTCTATTTCTGTGCAGTCTAATTTCTAATTGTCATACCAATAAATTAATGTTTCTTTACTGGTTTTCTTTGAGAAAAAAGAAAAGAAAAAAAAACACGTATCTGTAATCCGATGCATAATTAAAACTATATATAATTTCGGACGAGGCCGGTTTGGTTTGCTTGGAGTAGAGGTGAATTGCTCCCTCTCATAGCTAGCTCAAAATATTTACCATAATAGCTAAACGAATAAAGACAGGAAACTCAGTAACTGTGTGAATTAAGCGAACAAGTGTGCTACTGTTACACGATTGAACTATTGAAATGTCTTACCTGTCCTAAAAGAAAAAAAGCCGTCTCTGCGTCCGTTTTGAACCGATGTTTATCCTTGTTTTCGCGTGGGCCAGTTGCAGTCTCTTTTTTCTCTAACGTTACCCACTCCGAAGTCCGAATTATTTGGGGTTTTACAAGTGGTGAATGTCCAGTTGTCACTGGTGATTGTCGTTTGAACCTTTCTGGATCCGCCATAAGTTTAATTATTTAATGCTGTGAGAAAAGGCTAAAAATGTCCACCTCCAACATCCTCACGCAATATAGCCGACTAGCCGGGACGCCTTCTTTATGTGTACAGATGTGACGTAATGACGCAAAGACATGCTCGAATTTCCCGCGGAAATCCACCAGTACCACTGGAATTAAAATCATTATTACAAGCTAACCGTTTTGAATCGGGCAAAAGCAAGCAGATATTTTTGAACACTGGCTGGTTATGTTTTTTTTAATTATTATTATTTTGGATAATTTTTAACCCAAAAAAGTTACGGACAGCAGCTTTAAATTCTGTACATTATGTTTTTTAAAGAAGAAAAAAAAAATCTATTTAGTACTGAAAAAAAAAAAATAATAATAATAATAATACCTTTTTAGAGGGAGGGGATACAAATAGTAATATAACAAGATAAATATGTCTGTCCAAATTCAAAACTCACCCACGGTGTCATTAACACTCACTTCTGTGGATGCAGGGCAGACAGCACAAATATGAGGACAATGACGTCCAGACTGCGGTCTGGCATTGGATACTCTGCAGACGCATCACTCATATCATGGACAAATGCGTGACAGCGCGACGAGTCATACTCAGGGTTTGACTGCCAAAAAAAAATGTATCAAACAAGTTTAAATAAAGGCCTGCTATGTTTAATTAAAAGAGATTAAAAGCTTCCTGTTACTTACTTTGACAAGGTCAACAGCCGTGCTGGAGAAATCACAACCATAAACAAAGAGACCTGGGTCACTGTAAAGCAAATAGAAAAGAATTTTTCATCTGCATGAGTAACAAACACTCTGGACAGGTCTGGTTGGTTTATATCTGGACTCACTTGTTGGTTTTTAAGATGGGAAAGACTGTATTGCCTACTCCACAGCCCACCTACAGACCCCCAAACACACACACAAAAGGTGAAAGTGAGCATATTCTACTGACAGGGCTTTCATTTTATTACTGAACAGTTCACCCAAAAATGTAATTGCTCACTCTTAAGACCCATTCAAACCAGGGATGATAACTATAATGTTTACGATTAAGATCTAAATATATTAACAAAAATAGAGTCCATACCACAACTATAATGATAACAGCACAGTGAAACAATATCGTTGGAATCACTTGCAGAACAGTTTTTCCACAGCCAATCAGGATCTATCCTGCTTTAAAAAACTCAAGCATTTAAAGTGGCAGAAGGGCAGGCCAAACTGCAGAAATATTTCCCACTGGTGCATGTTTTAATATAATCAACATTTTTTTTTATAATTATGATCATTCTTGGTGCGAACAGGCCTTTATTCCATATAATGAAAGTCAATGGAGTGAGGTTAATAGTTATTTTGGTGAACAGCCCCTTTAAATGCATCTACTGTATTACAAAACTCACCTCCAGGATGCGATAGGATGCAGAGGCTCCAGGAAATGTAGTGTCTATGTGCGACGAGGGAACATCTTCACCACCATTTAACCCATACTGAACTGCGGTTCCCATCTCCTCACTGTCATGTGGAGCCTTTTGTCGAGGGGCCAGCTCAGGGAACTCTGTAAACAGCCAGTGGCGATCCTTGAAGAAACGGTTCTCGTGAATGGTGTAGAAATCGTTCCAGTACTCATTAGCCCTGCTGTCAAACTCCTCTGAAAGAGAGATATGAACAAAGAAAAGAAAAATCCCTATGAGCAAGTCTTTGTAACCAAGGCAGCAAAAACCTGCTGATAGAAACAGTGTTGTTGTTATTGTAAATTAAAATTATTTAAAATTGTTTTATAGAAAATTGTAATAAATTAAATATAACAGAATAAAACCTAAACTTAAAAAACTTCAAAGAACCCCCCCCCCCCCCCCCCCCCCCAAATGCATTTGCAACTAAAAATAAAACTGAAATAAAATCTAAATAGAAGTAAAACAACTAAAACTAATAAAACTGACAAAAGCACATAAAATTAAAATGAAAACCGAAAATATAAAGATAAACTAAAAGCTAATTAAAAATATGTAACTATATTTAACTGTATTTTTGCATCTTTCAATTGTATTTTTATTATTAAAGCATTATAAACATTAGGTGGGTGATAGATGAAGTGTTTGATACCTTGTTTTTCTGCTGGGAGAGGTTGACCGTTTTCCTGCACTTTCTTCTGGGCAGCCTCCTCCTGTTCTGCTGACCACTCTACATTATCCCTACAAGAGGTGAAACACCATCACAGTGAGTGAGAACGAAAACAAATCAGGTGTATTAAAATGACGGTCGGACACATATTATTCTACTACAATGACGGACAAATATAATTGTACAATTATGTTGATTAACTAACTACAACAGCATACTTTTTTGTTACATATACTATTAACTACAGCTAATCAATGCTTTATTTTGTCATTCTACATCCATCATATGTGACCCTGGACCACAAAACCAGTCTTAAGTTGCACGATTTGTGGCAATAGCCAACAAAACACTGTATGGGTCAAAATTATCGATTTTTCTTTTATGCCAAAAATCATTAGGATATTAAGTAAAGATCATGATCCATAAAGATATTTAGTAAATTTCCTAACTTAAATATATCAAAATTTTATTTTTGTAAGTGGATGCAGCACAATCGGCAACAGAAATGGAAACCTTTAAAGGTGATTTTCTCAATATTTAGATTTTTTTTTGCACCCTCAGATTCCCGATTTCAAATAGTTGTATCTCGGCCAAATATTGTCCTATCCTAACAAACCATACATCAATGGAAAGCTTTCATTCAGCTTTCAGGTGATGTATAAATCTCAATTTAAAAAAAATGACTGCTTTTGTGGTCCTGGGTCACATTTTTCATACATATTCTTCATATTATACATTCATATATATTCGGTATTCTGATAATGGTCAAATATAAGTCCTTTAATTTAATCACTCCACAATATAAAATATGACATGTTTTGAACTTTCTAAAGAATTAAGTTCCCACCCATTTTGACATCAATTTCCATGACTTTTCCATTCATTTGTGATTACTGTAATATTGTGTTTGCAGTCTGGAGTTTGTAAGTGTGTGTGTGTGTGTGTGTGTGACAGCCAGTTCACATACCACGCGTTGTGCTGAAACACCTGTCGCGGGTCTGTGAGGAAGCGAGTGCCGAACTGCGGTCGCTTCTGGGCCTCGGTGAAGTCCTCCGTGGGTCCATTAGCAGTTTCTGGCATGTTTTCTACGGAGGAAGAATCAGCAGCAACAGCAGGTACCGCCATGATCATGTGAACCGGATGAACATGGTTGTTCAGCTGTTGTTCAGTGCGAGTGTCTCCGCCCAGTTCTGCTGTTCGCAAGGAAATATCGCCACCTACCGACCGTTATCAGATATTGCGCATAGACTCCATCGTGAGAGAGTGGCTTCTTTTATCACAATATCACAATTAACGTTAAGTTGACATCATGATTCAGTTGTTTGGATTTCAATGGTAGGCCTACTATGTAGCATCTAACAATTATATAATAATATACAATAATAATAATAATTTTTGATTGGAATATATCAGCACAAACATGATTAACATGGTTATAAAACATTTTTAAGGCTCAGTTCGTTATAAGTAAAGTTTCACAGGAGGCAATCGTAACAATAAAACACTTGTTTTATTGGTTACAATACAAAGCAGTTAATGCAAAATAAAATTAAATAAAACTTAAAATCAACTTAAGCTAAAAAAAACTAGCCTTTAACCAGCAATATTGTAGATGCTGTTAAGCGCCCCTCGGGTATCCTTCACACAGGCAGCATCAGGGACGGACTGGGACTAAAAAACGGCCCTGGACTTTGACTAGGCCCGGCCCAAAGCAATCGGCGCGCGGAAACTCGACAACAACAACAATAACGCCTGCTGCCTGGCATGAGTGTCACAAGACTTTAATTGTGGCTCATAATACTATACCTAGCTAACAGCAAATTATACAATCTATTCCATGCTGTCTTAAAATGAATTTATTACTTAATAATCTTAATTAATTTATGCAGTAATTAATCTTAGCTACTGCACAAATAATAATACCACATCTAAATGAAAATAGGCTACACCATTACAAATGTAACTTCTGTATTCAAAATCTTCAAAGTTTGTAAGCATTAACTGTAACGTTACCAACATTTTTAAAAGTAAAAGCACAACATATTTCTTAATATTAGCTACTGCATGTGGCATTTTACAGCTAAAATGTTGAAGTTTAGCTGTTTTAACTACTGTAATCATTAAAAATGTAGCAAGCTGAATATCACTTCCTAACATCATAGCAAGTAACTTGCAAAGTAATTTCTGATTAATTCGGTTCGTCAGTAGTAGAGATAAAAGCCCGCCCGCACTTGATTGGTTGGGTCCTTACATGCGCTTCGTGAGGCACACGCGCATACTAGCACACACACGCAAGGTCTCTAGCTCGCTCCCTCTCTCTCCCGTGCGCGCGCTACGCATGCGCACTCTTATTCGCTCTAGATTCCGAGAGATTTTAACTAATTTGCGGGCATCAGTGAGCCGCTATAAATATGCGGGGAACTTCCGGGAGACTTGGGATGTCTGTGACTGCGTGTGTGGCGGGTGGTGGGCCGGTGGCCCGGTGGGCCGGCCCGCCGGCCGTCCTGGAGTACCGGCCGTTCTGTGATTCTCCAGATCACACAGATGGCCAGTCCGCCCCTGGGCAGCATCTGAGGAGGCCTTTACTCCTCAGACTTTTTTTTTATATTATTTTTTGGGCAATTCCACCTCAATATTAGTCATTAATTCATCAATGTCCTGTAATATCCAATCTTCATCAGTCTCTGTATCTCTTGCTTAACCCGTCGGACTTCTTCACTGAAGCGTTCATCTGGCTCACTTCTTGAGGTTGCAGCATGCTCTCTTCATCCCAGTTTGTCTTCTCGTTAACCTTTTGTGGTTGCCGGTTACAAACAGTACATACGCTACAACTTTCACAATTTTCTGCTCATCTCATCTTGTTTCAATTACACACAAAATGCAACATCATTCTGAGTTGCCATTTGCACAACATAGCATTTCACCCGGCATTAAATCGAAAGCAAGTAAATAGCATAACAGGTAAATAATAATAGCAATCTAAGGCATTAAATCAAAAGCAAGCAAAATAACTTTGAAACAGCAAAATATCAATATCCAAAACAATATATATATAGAGAGAGGTAATAATGCAATTTAATACATCACCAGAGAACAGTGGCGTCATGCCCATTCAAAGTGAGGGGGCACGTGCCCCCTCAGATTTTTCCTCCCTGATAATTTTTTATTTCTTCAGTCTTGTTATAATCAGATTCAGCGCGTTGTTCATCTTCAATCCGCAGCGGTGCCGAGCGGAGCGCACGTCAGAAACAGAGGACAGGGTGTGTGTGTGTGTGTGTGTGTGTGCGTGTTCATCTGAGCCTCATTGGTCTGTCACTGCTCGTCAATGTCAGAATATTTGAGATGACCAATCAAATCAAAGTAGGCGGGCTTTATGTTCACAGAAGCTGAGCGCGAATTTTAGCAGTGAGACTCGACGCTTCAGTGTACAGTCAAGTGCGAGATGTAAGTAGCTAAACTAAACATTTCATATTTGACAGTTTTTTTAGTTCATAAATGTTAAACGAAGGACAAACATAATCAGGCACACGAATGTACTTTTGTCTAATTTCGCCATTTTGAGCTGAAAATAGGCCTATGTAACATGACTCGTAATGTAGGCTAATAATTAGTTTACTGTCATTGTGAGGGGAAAAGACGTTTTCATTGTTAGGCACAAGAAAGATTAATAATGAATGTGTACATATTGAGAATTAATATAGTACAATTTGTAGCCTTAAGTAAATTAAAAAAGCTCAGCTTTAGGAGGGGAAGGAAAGATCAGGAGACTGAGAGAAAAAGAAAGAGTGATGAATAAGAGGTGAGAGCAGGTATTGACAAATAGTCTGCCCACTGACATGGTTTCAAAGCTATTTCTTATCCTTTTTTTGGCCTTCAAACGTCTTGAAATGCACATATCAGAGAAATAAAAAATTTGAACCCCCTACCCACCTCAAATTTAGGACCTCTGTGATTATAAAGCCCTGTCTACGGCCCTGTATTAGGCATAAGATCAATAATGAATGTGTACTGTGAATGAATTTAATAAACTTAGTTAGGCTACCTAGCTTTCCTAGTAGCTTTCAGTAAATAAATTCGTCTGAGAAAATGATTCATAAATCAACCTATCAGTTGACCCTATGTTTACTTTCTTCACTGACAGACAAAAATGAAAAGCCTATCAGTCAAAGCTCAACTTTAGGAGTTTTTTTGGCCTTCAAAACATCTTATAATGCACATATAAGATACACATATACTTTAACTTAGTCCTCAGATAGAGGAGGGTTGCTGCTAGCTCCGTTAAGGTATTTCTGTCCCTCCCAAACTGCATTGAAATAGTATGTTTCGCAGCCAGAATTAACAAATTTTTAGGGGGAGAAACCCCCTGACCCCTCCTAACATGATCCATATCACCCGTCAGAAAACAATTGCAACGTCTCAGATTGTGCCCCCCCAGAATTTTGGCTTGCATGACGCCCCTGCCAGAGAACCATCTAGTGCAGCTGCTGTCATGGAAACAACAGTTCTAGAAGAGTTCGCTGAAACTCCAGAAGCAAGTGCATGTCTTGTATCTATGGCAACAAAAGTTTCAGAGGCAGCTGCAAGAATGTGTCAAACTAAGCCTGGGAGCAATGTAAAAGTGTTATTTTACGTCATACTTTGCACTTCATGTTGCACTTCATCATTATCATAAGACGGCTGTCATCAATTGCTCATATTCATGTCAAACTGAAGAGCGTTCATATTAGAACAATATTTTCTTTAAAATCTCTTCTGGGCTTTGACACTTCATGCATTAATGAACCCACTTGTGATTGATAAAGACATGGATTGTTGTTGATATAAATGTTATCTGTGCCTGACTGGGATATGACAGACCACTCTTCTCTTCAAACAAAGGAATCATCACTGCAGTCACGAAGAGCAACAGGATAATAGAGAGACCACCATGACATCAGGACCCTTGGGACTAAAAATAGACCAGAAATGACAGATTGGGATGTAACGACTCGTATGGCAGTTTATAAGAATGAGAGATTACGTGCAGAGTATCTCTGAATAATACTTGACAACTTGACAACCTCTCCCCTGGGTCTTTAACAGTGTAGGGATTTTCACTAAACTCTTTTAGTCTTCATTTTTTATAATGTGAATTTGTGTAGTAATTACATAAGTTACTTTCATTTTTTATGTCCTAAACCTGTTCTGTTTTTCTTTTTAGAGAGCCTAAAATCTAAAGGCAATTACTGGACCCCAAAAATGAAAGGCACACTGTGGAACTTTTCAACCTTTATAATATATTACCAAAACCCATTGAGATGGTACATCGACTTACAATAGGTTGAATGACACGTCTGCCGAAGCCTGAAGGTGTCTGTATCGCTTTTACTAGCACTATGTAACTTCGGGTTTCGGGTAGGAACCCGAGCACAAAAAGAACTACAAAATTCGACCGCTTTACGGTACACGTCACTTCCCCCACCACCACAACTTCCTCAAATTCTAACGTGAGAGCTCAACTCGCGTTTGATTGCCGGCGTCTGTATGTTGTCGTCATGGCTGAATCAACAGCTACTCGGAAGAAAGCGAAGAAAGCAAAAATTTTGTCAGAGGAGACCAAAAAAAGAAAAAGGGAGAGTTTAAAATAAACATCGGCATAAAAGTGTATATATAATGTAATATTTACTGCGAATTCGTGTAACAAAACTGATATAAGTCACAACATACTGCCGTATACAAATGTAAATGTTTTTTTTTCCTTTCCGCTCATATATGTTTGTATTTGTGTAAAAGGAAAAACAAACTGAAGACTACAAATAACGGAAATATGTAGTGAGTTATATCAGTTTTGTTGCACGATTTCCCGACTACTCGATTTCATCTCCAACCCATTGCAAAGAGATCCTGACGACCCTAATTGTTTGCTTCAGGTGTGTTTGATTAGGGTTGGAGATGAACTGTGCAGGACAGACGATCGGCAGGAGCAGGATTGGGCAACCCTTGTCAATGCGACTTACCTGATCAGACATTGTTTTCTGCGAATGCTACTTTTATTCAATTTGTTTTTTTTATAGGATTTATATTATTAATCTTATATTTATATTATTATTTTGGTCAGTAGTGAATCGATTAACTTTCTCCAACATACAAATCAAATGCCGTCTGCA